TTTAATCACAATCTATGCATTTCCTAATTGATTAAAATCTTATTTGCTAAAAAAATAATTATTTGCAATACTTTGAAAGAAAAATCATCTTGGGATCAATGTGAATACTGAAAATCACAATTTGATATAAAATAAAATAATCTGGTCACTAAGTTTGAAGAAATGAATTGCTCAATGATCACATGAACCCAAAGTAGGAATCCTCAAATGAATTATCCTTTGCAGCTCGTCAGTGCCAAGGAGAATCAATTATACACACATAGGCCTAGTCTATGTTACCAGAACTCAAAGGGTTTCTCATAAGCAATCAGTTAAAATATTAAGGTACAGGCTTCTTACATTAAAAACTTTTAAAAGAATAACTTTAAAGACTAAAACTTTTTTAAAAGGATAACTGATTTTATCTGATACTCGAAAATTTATATCATTTGGTAACATATCACAATTGTTAAAATAAGTTATAAATTTTTTTTTAAAAATCTCACCTGAACTGGGCCAAGTTCTTCCCTGCTGCCTTGTCTTTGATAGTGTATACTAATGAAAAGAAAATTTCAAGGTTAAAAATATAGATGGCAATAAAATTGACTATATTTTTATGTATATTTAAAATTCATACTGTTCTATACAAATACGAAAACATATGGAACTCTTAAGTAATCCAGGGTCATAATATTACTGTGTTTTATAAAAATTATATTATTACTAGAGAGATATTTTATGATACGAAAAGTCAAACTATGCATACAAAAAACACTTAGTATGGACATGAGGTCATTTGATAAAGGTCTTAATAGTTATTAATAATACTGTTAACAGTCAAATAAAAACTGGAGCTAGAAGGATAAGCACTTTGTACACTTTCCAGTGAATAAAACAGTGTTGATGACTCTTTCAAATACTTAATAATATACAACCCAGCTAAAACCTACTTGTTTTCTATATCATCAATGCAGAGGTTAGATGGAACAAGGTGAGGCGACACTGGAAGTTCTAAATCATGTTTTCTTAGGGGCATTTTTATGTCTCTATTCATATTCACATAGATTGGTTTTCTCACAGTTTCTATAATGAAAAAAAATAAAATTAAAAAGAATAATAAAATCTTTTAAAAGCATTGTTTTATATACCATGTTCATTAAGTCAACGTACATCTTAGAAATTTACTAAAACCACCTATATGCTATTTATGCTAGAAGACGACATTACAGTTCTAACAACTATCACAGATAATTCAAATCTTTTCCTTCATCATCTTACATTCTCCTCACAAAAGGGGCTCTAGTACTTCTTTTCTATTTTTTTCTTCCTCCAAAACTTCCCTGACCCCCAGATTATATCAGGTGCTCTTATATATTTCCATAGCACTACATATGTTCTCTATTATAGCACTTACCATAGTTTATCATACTTGATTAACTCTATCTCCCTCACTAGATTTTTACACTTCATAGAAGCAGAAGGCTTGTCTCTCCTTATAGAAGATATAACTATTTTGACTGTTTAGTACTTTTAATTACTCTCCTTTTCTGGGAAATACTTTTCACACACACACACACTATATAGTTGTAGCGCAAAGTTTCCATCTTCTTATAAAACTCTGCTTCCCTGGAAAAAATAATTGGTTTAGAGGTAGCCATCTGACCCAGGCTGAATCAATAATAGTATTGCATCCAATACTATTGTTCCAGCGCTAGGATCTGACACCAGTAGAGCAAGACAACACCCTTCCAGTGGAATTTAAAAATTCAGAACCAGAGAAACAACTCTCAGTATTTCCCTGGTGGCAAAATGGCAGCGATAAGCCACTTTTTTTTTCTTTTTTTTTTGCTGAGGAAGACCAGCTCTGAGCTAACATCCATTGCCAATCCTCCTCCTTTTTTTTTTTCCCCAGAGCCCCAGTAGATAGCTGTATGTCATAGTTGCACATCCTCCTAGCTGCTGTATGTGGGACACGGCCTCAGCATGGCTGGAGAAGCGGTTCATCGGTGCGCGCCCGGGATCCAAACCCCGGGCCACCAGTAGCGGAGCGCGCGCACCCAACGGTCAAGCCACGCGGCCGGCCCCGCCACGTTAGTTTTTTAAGGTCACATTTTAAACTTCATTGATTAAGACAGTCTGAGAGAATAAAGCTAATATCTGAAGTAAAAAAGAATCTTGATAGTGTTCAAGTCCCTGATTCAAGCAGTCTCTGAGGCCCAGCTGCACCACTACCCTTCCTTTTAGTTAAGTGTCTTAGTCCATTCAGGTTGCTATAACAGACTACCATAGACTGGGTGAGTTATAAACAACAGAAATTTATTTCTCAGCTTGGAGGCTGGGCAGTCCAAGATCAAGGCACTGGCAGATTTGGTGTCTGGTGAGGGCCCGCTTCCTGGTTCACAGACAGCTGTCTTCCCACTGTGTCCTCACATGGTGGTAGGGGCAAGAGAACTCTTTGGGGTCTCTTTTACAAGAGTACTAATTCCATTCATCAGGGCTCCACTTTCATGACCCAATCACCTCCTAAAGGCCCCACCTCCTAATACTATCACATTGGGGGTTAGGTTTTCAACATTTGAATTTTGGGGGGACACAAACATTCAGTCCATAACATTAAGTAAATAGACATTTTTAAAACTTCTATCATTTGCAGTCATGAGTCCTGACTAATAAAGTCTTGCTTTTGTAGAGGAGGAAAAATATCTTTCTCCTCTACCCTTCTAAATTATCAGCTGGGGCCCCGTAACAAAAGACAAATTAATAAGAGAAAAGCATACAAATTTATTTAATGTAAGTTTTATGTGGAAAACTTTGTAAAGAAATGAAGACCCAAAGAAGTGGTTAAATCTGAGCATTTTCATGCTAAGTTTGATGAAGAGTGGAAAGTCCTGGGAAAATGTGATAGGACAACAAAGGGTATTAGCTAAGTGTAGTAAACTGAGGGAAACAGCAAGGTCTGTTCTTTTAGATTCCTCTTAGTGTCCCTCTATCTTGGAGATAAAGATGTTCCCTTTCTGTGGGTATAGAGAGGGCACCCCTCACATGAGAATCCTTCCTGCACATGCTGCTTCTCAAATTCCTTCAGCTTAAAACACTCAATATGCTAAGGTGCCATATTTTTGGGTATCGTGTCCTGTCCCTGTCACTTTCTGTTCTACTTCCAGCATCCAGTACAATACTTATGGTAGGTACTCAACAAACATATGTCCAATGTATGAATGAAAAGAAACTGAGGGAGAAAGGAAATATATAAAGTTAAATACATCAGTGGACAGCCATATGCAAAAGAATTAAACTGGAACCCTATCTTACACCATACACAAAAGTTAACTCAAAATGGATTAAAGACTTAAATACGAGACCTGAAACTATAAAACTCCTAGAAGAAAACATAAGGAATAAACTCCTTGACTTTGGTGTTGGTGATGATTTTTTGGATTTGACACCAAAAGTAAAGGCAACGAAAGCAAAAATAAACAAGTGGGCCTATATCAAACTAAAAAGCTTCTGCATAGCAAAGGAAAACACCAACAAAATAAAAAGGCAACCTACAGAATGGGAGAATATATTTGCAAATCATAATATCTGATAAGGGGTTAATATTCAAAATATATAGAGTTCACACAACTCAATATCAAAAAACAACAACTGATAAAAAAATGGGCAGAGGACCCTCTGAATAGACATTTTTCCAAATAAGACATACAGTTGGGCAACAGGTAAATGAAAAGGTGCTCAGCATCACTAATCCTCAGGGAAATGCAAATCAAAACCACAATGAGATATCACCTCACATCTGTTTGAATGAGTACCATCAAAAAGAGA